AAGTGGCTTAAGCTTTGTAGTGCTGTGCTTTAACCCACTGCGCCACCAGGAAGGGCCTCTGCAGTCAGATTTTTAGGGGTTTGTTTTGATTTACTTCTGTCAGTTCCTTGTTTTGCTTCTTTATATCCCACATATGAATGAATGAAATCCAGTGCTTGTCTTTCTCCTCCTGACTCATCTCACTTATCTGCATCCCTGCCAGTTTGTTCCCTGTTGTCTCAAATGCCAGGATTTCATCTCTTTTTTTTACAGCTGAGTAGTATTCCATTGTATATGGACCACACCTTACTGCACTCATCAGTTGTTGGGCTCTTAGATTATTTCCCTAACTTGACTCTTGTAGATAGTGCCTCTGTTCCTTTGAAACACTAAGTCAAAAGTACCTATTTCTTCACGGACCTTCAAACGAGTAAAAGGATATATATTAAAATGTAAACAGTGATAATATCCAGACTGTGGTTGATATTTAGTGTTGCCTCTATGCTTTTCTATATTTTAGAAAAGGAATAAGTACCAGAAAAAAAAAAATCTACAAGAGATTGTCAGTAAAAAATTCATAATAAAATTGACATCCTGACTTCAGAGAACTCAGACTCAAACAGTATAACACATAACTCTTATAAAGATTTTTAAACTTTTGAAGAACATTAAAATCGATGGGAGATGTTTTGGGTCAAGGGATTTGCTGAGACTGCTCTCTGTTTGGTGTTTGAGGAAGCATTTAGCAGAAGCTGCAGGTAAAGCCCAAGTCCCCACCACACTGCCCACAGGGAGGAAGGTTTGCTTGGGGAATCTGATTCTGATCTTTTATAATAATATTTTTGATTACAGAAGAGACCCTGGAGGGCTGCGGTACTAATCAGGAATAAGCTAAGGAGACATCATTTCAACTGGAAAGAGGTTCTAACATTCCCCTGAAGTCTTGAGTCTCTAGGTCAGGCCTATTTGGGAAAGAATATTTTTATTTTGAATTAACCTAGTGCAGTTTAAGGGCAGCAAAAAACAATAACTGCTGGAGCGTGGGTTTCAGATTCAAAGACAAAATGAGGCCAGGTATATGAATTCATTAACTCTGTTTTAGGTGGAGTGTAGGCTTTGGGGCTTCTCTGTGCAGTGGGACAAGTGGGAAACAGCCCCAGGGAGCTGATGATTGTGCTTCTCCCACTCTGACTGCCCATCCGCAGGCCACCGCCAGTGCACATGCCCAAGCCAGGTCTCAAAGCAAGGGCAGAAATCCTCCAGTGAGGATCGCCAACGGGATTTAAACCAGGAAAACTGTACACAGTAGACTTGCTGGCAGGGTTCCATTGCACCCAGAAAAGGGTGATGTGGAGAAGACTGAGGTGGTGCTAAAATGAGCCAGAACAGAGTGCGAGTAAACTCAGGTCTGCACCACGTTCAAGGGCTGCAGATAAACTGAGGCTCCGGTTCGCAGACGACACCTGCCACAGCTTCGGAGTGACCTCCTGCCTTGGCTGTCCGCAGCAGCCCCTTTGCCAACAGAGTTCATGAGCGATTCAGAGAATGAGTGGCCGCTAAGCATAGCATCCGCACAGCCTGCGTCACTGAGTCTCCATGAGGCAGGGAGAGTCAATCTTTGTGCACCCTGCACCCTGGCTCACCACAGCTCAGGCTCTGACAATAGCTAGGCGCTCTTGCTCCCAAGATCCCACCCCAGCTCCTTTTGAAGGCAAATAGGCTCTCTAGTCTCAGTTTTCTCATCTGTAAATGGCCATATAAAACTTACACCCTGGGGCCGTCATGGGGATTAAATAAAGCAGCCACACATAGGTGGTTAGAGCAGAGGCTGGCACATAATAAGTGCTTCTGAGGCAGTGTTTATTTTGACTCTAATAGTTGTGCGATATTAGTCATCTCTGGGCCCCTGGTCCCTTCCTCCAGGAACTCATAACAGCCAGAGTACTCAGTCTAACTCTGAGGGCTGGAATTTGCTTCACTTAACAATGGTCAAAGCTTCTCGAGGCCCCTTCTAGCCTATGAACTGCTAATATTAAAGACAAGGCACAGCCAGCGGTGGTGGTGGAAAAGCGGCCTCTGCTTTGGGCCTAACAAAATGCTTCTCCCTGGCATGGATCTCTTCTTGCTTCTGACTGCCAGGTGGGGTGGTTGCCGCTAGAGGCGAGGTCTGCCTCTGACTCATAACTGAGCCAGGTCAGGCATTTGTGATGATGTGGAGACTCACCCCATCATCAGGAGCCAAGGTGGGTAATTAAAACACAGGCACTTCTCAAATCCCTCTCTGAACCGCTCCCTCCACTCCATCCGTTGCTAATGAAGTCAGAGAAAGGGTGAAACCTGTAATTACATTGAAGTAATTAGAGCCCTGCTTAATAGAAAGCTTAAGACAGGAAGCCCACACCAGTAGATTACCCATTGGTCCTGTCATTCTAAATCATTCTTCCTAGGGTGATCCTTTTATAGCTCCCCACAGTGGAGTAAGGTCTATACAGAAATTACATAAAATGTGTGGCACGTATGTGTGCTCTCTCTCTCTCTCTCTCTCTATCTCTCTCTCTCTCTGTCCTATCTGAGAAAGCTTCAGCATCGTACTTTTCTTAGTCCCTACAACTTCACTGATTAACATGTCTCAATCAGCAGAACAGATTAATTTAAACCCCCTTTTTATAAAGCTTTTAAATTTGATCATATTGTACTAAAGTTCTCTCCATGCAATGATCACTTTCCAGCTCTGTGCTTCCCAGTTTTAATGTGCACACAGATCACCTGAGGATCTTATTGAATTTCAGGTTCTGACTCAGTAGATCTGAGCCAGGAGTCTGAGTCCTCATTTCTAACAAGTCTCCAGGCTGCTGCTGTGGCTGGAGGAGGCAAATAGGAGAGGGGCGGGGGGCCAGGCACTGTGAGGAGCTAAGGAAAAGGCCTTCCCTCCCTGCCAGTGACTTCATTTTTCTCTGAGCACAGCAGCTAGTCCACACTACTAACATGGATCTTGAAGCATGAATAAAACTTAGCCATTGAAGGGAGAGTTATCCAGGCAGAGGCAACAAATAAGAGCCCGACTCTTGAAAGTTTTTTTTATGAAAAAAAAATTTTAAAGGTATATTTATTATTTGTGCATAGAGAACTGAGGTACAGGCCAGAGGTGTGGTGGGTGAGAAGATTCACCAGAGACAGAGCAGGGAGCAAAACAGGCAGATAGAGGAAGTACACTGCTGAGGGGAGCAGCAGATGGGTCAGGAGAGGTCTGCCGCCATGTGGGTCAGCTCCCAGGTGGGGGATCGAACTGATGCTGCAGTGGCTTCCTAGAGCTTCATAATGCAGTGCTTTAACCCATTGCACTATCAGAGAGCCCTTAAAAAATATTTTTAAAGTCTCTCTTTCTTGACAGTTCCTACAAAAGGTTGAAGTTTTCAGGGGTCACAGTACTCAAAGACCATTGTGGTTCCTTTGCGTCAGAGCAAGGTGGTCAGAAACGGTGGAAGAGCATCAGACGAGGGTCTTCTGGCATAATCTTTAGTTTGAGCAGGTCTCTTTCTACCAGGTGTCATGCTCTTGCCCAGAAGAAAGGAATTGGGAGGTAGAGGTTGCCTTAAAATCAGTCATCCCTGAGGCTGTCACTGCATCTCTTCCTGGGACCTGGAACCTGATGGTGATCTAACTCAGTCTTTTAGTTTCCTGTGTACTGGTTGGAACCTCGTGGGTATGGTTTGAGCTTGTCTGAGCCACTTGGATGTAGACTGTCAGAGCAAGTTCCTGCCAGTTCCACCTTGATCTGGTTGTCGGCAGTTCAAACCAATTCTAGCCATCTGGATTTGTTTGGAACTGGTTTTAAACCGTATTAACAGGTTCCAACCAAATTAAGCTGTCCTGAACTAGATCCAAGTGGCTCAAACTAGTTCCTAGTGGCTCAAAGCAGATCAAACTAGCTCAAGTCAGTTCCAACCAGCTCATACCTGTTCTTGCCAACTCAAATCTATTGAAAGCAGATCCACCTGGCCAAAATTGTCTGCTAGAACTTTGGGGCCTCCCTGGTGGCACAAGGAATTAAAGTACAGCACTATGAAAGTGGCTAGAACAGGAGCCAAGCAGAACCAACCAGTTCAAACTAGTTCCAACCCAGTCAGATTGTATCCAACCAGTTCCAACCAGCTCAGACTGGTTCCAGCTGGATACAACCAGCTCAAACTGGATCGAACTGACTCACAGTTTCTGTGTGTCAGGAATTGGGGATGACACAGTCAGGTCTCTCACAAGACTGCCAGAGAGGCGGAGAGGCAGAGAGGCGGATGCTCTTCCCTCATCATTAGCACGTTGTTCCAGTCTTGGTTTTCTCATTTGCTGCGAAAGGCTACTGTGTAGGACTGTATCCCATCAGGCCTCAAGGTCCTGCCAAACTTTTTATCAAGAAAAGAAAGAGGCAAGGAAGGGGTTGGGGCAGATTGTGCTAAGAATAGTGGCCGATAATGATGATGATTTTAGTTATCATTGCATGTCGTCCATTAATTCAGGATCATGGAGAAGACCCCAATCACTCCTCGTGGCTTGTCTGAGCATCATTTTCCCAGTGACTTACTTCATAGCTTCCTAATTAATATATTAAAAATAGAGTGCTAGAGGTTATAGATGTTGAAGGTATATTTTTAGGCCCTGAGTAGCTTTCCCTTCCTGCACCTCATCACCCACTTTGCACAGAGCTTTAAGTGCTCTGAACTCATCCTGCAACTTCACCTACTTTATATTAATGTACACATCCAACAGTTTCTGTTTAATTCTGATATAAATGCTTCAGCAGCAATTAAGCTGCCTCCTAGTTAACTGAACTATATTTAATTCTTCATGTGCTCAGTCTCTTACATCAGAAACCACCAGAGGAAATAAAGACAAGAAGTGAAAAAATAAATGACCATAGATGCTGCAAATTCATGGCAAACAGTGAATGCTGAAGTGTATACAGGAAAATTTTTAAGAATAGACTTCTGACTAGAGGGCTAGTATCTCTACTTTTTGCTTTTATGCAGATTGTTTCCCAGAGAAAACTGTCCAAATCGTTGTTGAAGCATGGTAACACCGCAGGGAAGTCCTCCATCACAGTAAGTGTCCTTCGCAGCCGCCAGCTGTGCCCCTGGGGAGCTGGCCAGCCCAGCTGCCCAGTCCTTGGGAAGCAGGTACTCTGCTTATTGGGAGTTGATGCCACCCACTTCAGCGGGGAAATATTGCTGCGCCCCCTTCTTCGTGACTTCCCAGAGGGAAAACATACATCATTATCTATGGAATGTCACTCAGTACTGTGTGACCTTTACGGAGAGAAGCTCTTCCTAACTGCTGTTCCACACGTTGCCCCCACCCCCATCTCAGCGTAAGTGAAATCTGGTGATTCATTGTGGTCTGTTGCAGGGAGTTCCCTTGGGCAGTGGGAAATGCTGTGTCATGCTCACTGACATCGTGGGAATGTCCATCTTTGTTGATTTTTGAACCAAACAGGAGTTAAATTTGTTCACAAGTTCCTGGGATGAACAGCCCAACTGCTATTGCTGCTAATGTGTGCTTTTTCCTTCAGGTGATTGCTGAAGAATTATCTGGCAATGATGACTACGTTGAACTTGCGTTTAATGCACGGAAATTGGATGACAAGGTAAAGTGTCTGGGATTAACCTTATTGAGGGAAGTAATAAAGCTAGCACCAAGTTTAATCAGATTCGCCCCTGCAGCTACTTCTCCCTTTCAACCCACATTATTAAATAGATCAAAGATTTCAGAGAGATCTGAAAAATAAGACTTCCCCCAAATTGTGAGGCAGTTAATGAGGAGAGGAACTGTAATTAAAACAAGACAATTTATTACACTAAGACTTCATTTGTTTCCAAAAGCACAGGTAGGTATGATGTAAATATGACTTAGCTCTATTGTTAGGGACACTTCAAAGGAAGAAAGGAGATGTGAAAGGAAAGAGTGACATTTACTAAACACCTAAATTTGCCAGGTACAGAGAAAGCTTTTCATGGACTGTCACACTTAGTCATTCTTCTAACTCCCTGTAACAGGTCCCGGCTCTGTTTTGCAGAGATGAAAACAGATTCATAAGTAACATAAATAATTTGGCTAAGTGCACTCCACGTCAGTCCAGATTCTTTAAGAAACAGGCATCAGGCCGAGACTAAATACGCAGGAATCGTATTAGAAACACCTGCTTGGGAGGTGCGAGCAGATAAACCTGGATGCTGGCGAGAGGCAGAAATGGGCGGGGCGGGGAGGAGCCTGTTCGGGATCGCGGGCAGTCTGAAGACCATTCAGAAGGGTCATCCAGGAACCCAAGAGCCAGAGCCAGTCCCAGCGGCCCATGCCTACCGGCACGGCCTCCACATAGTCTGTGGCGGTTGCTGAGCTGCCCCGGGAGCCTCGGAAGACCCGCACGGTGGATTTCAGAGCGGCAGCCAGAGGGCTGTCGCTCTGGTGTAGGACCTGTCTGCAAAGTCATCCTCAGGCCCACCCTGGCCTGCTGGCAAGCAGTTGACGCGGGTGTGCAATCCCACGCTGGTCTCCTTCCGTTACAGACTGCTAGTCTTGCACATACAAAAAAGCTCCATTCCTGGGGAAGAAAAAAATAAAGAGGGGATGTCTTCCCTACTTCTTCATATACCTGTGATTTCCCTCAAACCTATCCTTAAATCAGTAAATGCATTCACACCTATTTTCCTAAATCAGATTTGAGAATAGGAGGTTTTCAAGCAATCACTTACGTACAGGCCCTTCTGCTGGAAAAGGTAAAGCAACTCCCTAAAGTCTTCAACAGCAGCCTGTAATCGGATCTGTCTCATCCTAATTTCACCCTAAAAAGTGCTCATATACATGCATCTGTCCACTGTTTTATTTGTTCATGGACTCACTCACTTGTCCTTCATTTACTAACACCTTGTAGTGTGTTGTATGCTTGAGATGATACACGTTGAATCACCGTTAGACCCACAACCTAGAATGTCCCCTCTAACTACATGAAACATAAACTGAAAACAGCAAAGAACACAGTGATACTATAGCCCTGGTAGGATGTGATAAGTGATGTGTGATCAGCGTGTTCTGAAAGGGGTGATTCATTCTGCCTGCATCAGGAAAGACTTCTTTACCCTTAGGAACAGTTGTTTGTTGTTGTTGTTTTTGGTGTCCTTAGTAAATGTGTGAAACTTACAAACTGCTATCTTTTGACATTCGCACACTTAGGTACTTTCTGGGAAAAGCAATATGCATTGGTATCAGTTGGGAGTGAGCTTTTAACCCTCACATCCTGATGATTATGGTGCTCTTCCCACACCTCCATCACCCCAAGTTTCAAAATAATTCAGCAAGCTGCTCTGTAGTATCTTCCCTTTCCCATTATAAGCCACTGGGTCTGTGTGTAGCAGTTATAAGCTATTCACTTAATGGCTTATAATGGCTTCTTTTCACTCACCGGTCTCTCAAGTACCTCTAATGTTCTTCTAACTATCTTATGTTACAGTGCGAGGAGCTTTGGGGGTTTGTTAGTGGGCCCAGCAGCTCTAGGTGTTTGAAAGTTTCCTATATTCAAGTGAGCATTTGCTCACAAAACTGAAAGAGCCCCCTGCAGCACTTAGCTGGCCCCCCACTCTTGACTTTGCTGATTATCAGGGCTACTGCAAAGCCTCAGGACCCCAGTGCTATAGAATTCAGGCCTCAACTGGTTTCCTTAGTAGCCCAGAGGGGACCAAACTATGCTGAGAACAAAGCAGAGACCTCTGCTCCAGTTTTGACCTGAAGGTGAATGATCTCAGGTACAGAGAGGGCAAATTTGTAGCATGAAGAGCAAAATGGTTCCATGAAACCATCTCATTCAACCTCTTCAGGAAACAGGCTTGGCAGGGTCTGACGACTTACCAAGGACACACCACTCTCTCTCTGGAGCTTTCTTGCTACAGAGCAAACTGCTTCAAAACCTAGTGGCTTAAATCGGCACCTGTTCTGTTATACAGCATGGATCTAAGGGTCAGAACTTTGGGCAGGGTTCCACTGCAACGCCCCCGATCCTTCTGATGTTGACAAGCCACCGTGAGGCACTGGCTGAGGGAGACGCTTCATGCACGGCCTGACACCCGGGACCACTGACACGATGGGCTCAGCTGGGTTCATCAACTTGGCCGTCCTGGGGGGGTCACATGTGCTCTCCAGTGCCTGGCTGCTCCCCAAGAGAGCATCCCAAGAAAACTAGGTAGAAGTCGTGGGGCCTTTTCTCATGTGACCTTTGAAGTCATGCGTCCTCACTTCTGCCATCTGTTGGTTACAGGTGAGTCATAGTTCAGCCCAGAGTCAGACAGGAGGAGGTGAGGCACCACGCCTTAACAGGAGAGTGGCAGTCATGTCGTAGAGAGGAGCGTGCAGAGAGGGGACAGTGTGGCGGTCATCTTGGAAAATGCAAAAGGCGCGGTACTTTTATGACAGAAGCAGAATAAGGTTATTTCGTGTCACAGCTGGAAAAATAGTTCCTAGAGGTTCTCAAGGAGGAGCTTTCTAGCTTTTAGTATTCAATGATTTTTAACAATCGTACTTACAGCTTAATTGAGAAACTATATCATGACTAGAAGTCATTGTGAGCTAGATAAGGCTCTTAATTTATTTATTTATTTATTTTAAAGATTTATTTATTTGTGCATACAGAGGTGGGATACAGGCCAGAGACTCAGGGGCGGTGAGAGGCTTCACCAGAGACAGAGTGGGGAGCAGAACAGGCAGATGGATGAAGTACACTGCTGAGGGGAGCAGCGGGCGGGCCAGGAGAGGTCTGCCACACTATGTGGTCACCTCCGGGGCAGGCGGGAATCGAACTCATGCGGAAGTGGCTTTAGCTTCTCAGTGCTGTGCTTTAACCCGCTATGCCACCAGGGAGGGCCTAAGGCTCTTAATTTAAAAAATTTGGCTAGTGACTATCCTGAGATAGCCAGAATATCAAATGTATTCTGCATCCATTTGAAAAATTCCATTACGATTATGCACTATGGACTATCTCCAGTGCAGATGATGCTCCTGGCAGGTCTGGAACCCCTGTCCCAGTGCAGTCACTCTGGTAACCTCCAGGTACCCAAATACCTGGGGTTGAACTCCTCTGGTCTAAATGAGGGTATTGCATTTCAGAGATATGAAATGACTTTCCAAAGCACCACATACACACAATCAGTGACAGAGAGGGATCTGATCGAATGATTGAGCTAAAACCTCAACCCTCCTTCAGGGCAGAGGGCTAATGAATAGAAGCTGGATTGGTTTCAGCACGTAGATGATACAGTTATGTTCCCATGTGCTTCTGGGAAGTAGGAAGTCAGGGAGGAAAGAAGGGGGGGGGTTTGTAGGCAAAAGGCCTCAAGTGTGCTCCAAGACCCTTTCAGGAGGACACATGTAGTCAAAACTATTTTCATAATGACACAGCATTGTTTTCTTTCTTCACTCTCACCCTGACATATGTGTGCAGTGGTTGCCCGGAAGCTACACGATGCCTAATATCATAGCAGGGTAAAATCTGAGTATCTGCAAAAGCAGGTATGAGAATCCCACCGACTTCTATCAAGAAGTCAGTCAGACTGATTTTCACAAATGTACATTAATGCCATTCTTATCATTATTAGTGATGAATTATTTTTCAGTAAGATACTGTTTAGGTTCTGGTGCAATGGGCTTGTTTTTATTATTATTTAAATGGCATAGCAAATGAATTTTTTAAAATCTCAAGTTAAATTTATAATGTAAATATTGATCATGCTGACTCACATTAACAGACACTCTTTGAGATCATCAATAATTTCCCAGAGGCATCATTAAGATTTTCTGTTTATTATTTTGTTTATCTGCAAATAGTGATAGTTTTATTCATCTCCCAATTTTATATCTTCTTCTCTCCTAATTGCTTTAGCCAAGATTTCCAACACTGTGCTGAATAGGAGAGGTAAAAGTGAACATCCTTGTCTTATACCTGATCTGAGAGGAAAAACAATCACGTGGTTTTGGTTTTTTAAATCTTTTGTTGCCATGGCGAATTGCACTGACTGACTTGCAGGTGTTGAACCATCCTTGTGTCCCTGGAATAAATCCTGCTTGGTTCTGATGCAGCATCCTTTTAATGTATTATTGCATTCAGCTCGCTAAGATTTTGGCCAGGATTTTTGCATCTGTGTTCATCAGGGATGTTGGTCTGTAGTTCTCCATTTTTGTAATGTCCTTGTCTGCGTTTGAGAACCACCGTCATGGGGAATAGCAGGAGGCACTGAATACATCTGTAAGCCACAGAGGCAGAGAAATGCACCATTTTTTTTTTTTTTGCTAGCAAGTTATTTTTAACTTACTTCTAACGCTGTCCAGCAGCACAGAGCTCTTGAACTGCTCTTGAGATGGAAATTCAGAGTCCTTGAAACCTGAGAGGCAGACTTCAATAAATAAATATATAACTGGATTAAATTTGGAAGAAATAACATATTTATCTAATGTTAATACAGTTCACTTAGTAGAGAGATGTGCTTTCTATCTTCTCCAGCACATTGATGACACTAACAACTAGTTGTCAGTCTAACTAGTAATTAGAGGTGTGAATGTAATCACTTTGGAACATTCAAGCTGATGAAATCTTATTTCTCTTCCCTTTCCTATGAAAGTATTTATGTTGGTGTATAGGATTCTCACACTGGTGTTGTCCACAGTTGTAATAGTAATCATTGCAGGCTGCATTTTTAGTATTTTCACACTCCTTGATTAACCACTGTATAAGCAAACAAATCTCTACAATAGAGGTCAGCAAACTTTTCTTAATAAAAGGCCAGGTGGTATTTATTTCAAGCCCTGGAGGCCAGATGGTCTCAGTCCCAACTATTCAGCTCTGCCTTTGAAGCTTAAAAACATCCATATATAATATGTAAACAAAGGCAGTGTTCCAATAAAACTTTATTCATAAAACAGACATTGGAACCAGTTTGCTCCTGCAGCAGTTTGATGGCTTCTCTTCTAAAACAGTTAAACCTTGATCTGTTGTGCTGTGGTTCCACTATGTTCAAGTATGCTTGCTTGCAAGTTAATCCAGCCTGCATCAGTGATAGCAAGTTACAATTATTGAATATCTACAATGTATCGGGTGTCAGGTGATTAATCTACATTATCCTCCAACACAGGCAGGCATCATTATTTCTATTTTATAGATGAAGCATAGTAATGTCACAAGGCAGTGTGCTCTGGCTTCTGGCTATGACCCTGAATTTTTCAGACATTGTCTTCTAGTCCAGTATTCTGTTTTCAAATCACTGTCATGGAAATATATGGCTTTCTTTCTGATGCTAAACTTCTGCTGTTTGCTCATTGCCTTCACTAGACTAAATTTCTTTCATGTTGGTCAGAATGATATGGCTTTCAAGTTATTAAAAAAAATTCACCACAGCAAAACTTCAGTAAGGTACCTGAGTCATTAATCTTCGTAGCATTGAACTGTCCCAGAAGCCATCTTCATGCTTATGGTCAAGCACAGAAAACTGAAAATTCCAGAGTGAGGTCAAGTAACCAGACAATTAGACCCAAAGCTGTTGTTATTAAACTAAGAATTTCTAAGTCTCTACTGAGGGATTTTTTGAGCTACTTTTTAATTTTTTTCCAGGATACTTTACCTCAATATTAAACATTCCTGATATTTGCATAGTGCTTTTCAAAGTTTCCTCATGGGTCCTTTCTACTAGCCTCGTATCATAGAAGTTGTCTTACCTAAGTGCTTAGACGTGCCAGATGCTGGGCTCAGCTCCCCAGGCAGCAGCTTCTCTGTCTTCTCCATGGCCATGACGCACATGGTGACATACTCCACAGATGAGGAAACTGAGACTTGGAGAAACTAAATATGTTGCCCACATCACCCAGACTGTGCATGATGTTGTCATGATTTGAAAGCAGTTCTAAATCAGTGCACTGTGGTGTTTGCTTTGCAATTGCTTAAGGGCTAAAATTATGCCTGATGTTTCTTTTTTCTTTTATATAGTTTTTTACACCATTCTTCATTTTGTACATTTTTTCATCTCGGTTGTAATCCCCATGGGCTTCCCACCACCCCTTCACCCATGTGCCGTGTGTTCTTCCCGCCCCAGTGTGATCCTGTTCCCCTCTCTGCCCCGTAGAATATCTCTGGTTTACAGTTGTTAGTTGATTTTAGTTTTTACTTTATTACAATTACTGTGTGTGTGTGTGTATATTACATATATATATATATGTACATTTGTTTTTTTTTCCTCCTGATCCCTTACACTCCTGCTATGAGTGAAACCATCTGGTATTTTTCTTTTTCTTTCTGGGTTATTTCTCTAAGGATGGTCCTTTCCAGCTTCATCCATGTTGCCACAAATGGCATGATCTTTCCTTCTTTGATTTATCCTCCTGACAACTTTGTGCTAACCCAAAAGAGTCTTTTAGAAGAACATGAAATAAAATAGAAAAACATTGCAATATACCAGCAAGAGATAAAATGCAGCATAAATTTGCATATGTTTACAAATATGTTTTTGTTTTTTTTTTTAGGAAAAGAAAATTGTGTCTCTATTCTAGAAAAGTATTAACCAAAATTTAATTGCTAGTTGGGGAATTATGGGTGGTTTGATGAACTTTTTTTCCCTCTGCTTTTGTCATCTATTTTTTATTTTTTCTATTTTTTTTTTAAGATTTATTTATTTATTCATACAGAGCTGGGGTACAGGCCAGAGGCTCAGGGGCGGTGAGAGGCTTCACCAGAGACAGAGTGGGGAGCAGAACAGGCAGATCGATGAAGTACACTGCTGAGGGAAGCAGCGGGCGGGTCAGGAGAGGTCTGGCTCGCCATGTGGTCTCCTCCGGGGCAGGCGGCAGGCGGGAATCGAACTCATGCGGAAGTGGCTTCAGATTCTTAGTGCTGTGCTTTAACCCGCTGCGCCACCAGGGAGGGCCTATTTTTTCTATTTTTTAATAGAAGTAATAAAAATGAAAGTTTAAAGTTATCATTAAAGGGGAAAAATAACTGATAGAGTCTTTCCATCATGGTCAGCAATTTTCAAATGCAACTGACAAACACGTTAAGTCACCAGAAATCTATTTAAGGAGACAAAGCCTAGAGCCCCAGAGCCCAAGGGCATCTAGAAGCCAGGGCTGCCCACATCCTCTAGAGAAGGGAGTGGGCAGGTTCCAATTTTTTAAGGTGACTGTTGAAACTGGCTTGGGCTCCACGGGTGAAGGCCTTAAGTGAATGCACAGTAAGAATCAGCAAGAAACTGCCTCGGGAGCCATTTTGGAGGAGAGAGAGGTTTGCAGGGTAAACTTATTACTAAAAGGAGCCATTTTGGGTTCTTGACTGGAGAAAGACTGTGGTCACCTGGTCTCTTCTGAAACAGAGTGGACGGACACATTCCACACACTGGACTTGGGAGACATGGTATTTGGGTCCTGGTTGGGGGCAAGAACAGCAAAAGGGAAGATGGATACCTGCCTTTATGTCTTCTCTTTCAAAGATATCTGACAAAGCTTCTCAGCTGATAGTCTTCACAAAAGAGCCATTCACATTATGTTCCTACTCAAAATCCCTCTGTGGCCCCCCACAGCTGCGAAGGCAATTGCAAAGCTTCAGTGAGCACTTCAGCCCTTCATTTCCCAGACTTGACTTTGCCAGTGTCGTCTCCAGCTCCTTCCACCCCAAAGCTGCAACCTTCATTCAGTCTATTTGCTCCCTAAAATTTCCTCATCACAGCCATAGTTCCTAGTCAAGATTCATCAAATCCCCCTCTCTTCCTTCCTTCCTATTGGTCATCTTTCCTTCCTGTTTTCCCTCCTTCCTAGCCCTAGGTTACATTCATCTGTATAATTCCCTTACCACTACCCTACTTTGGAGGGCTGAGACCAGGTGTTATCCTTTCTTGTACCTAAATATTAAAACCAAAAGCTCTGTGACCAGTATACCCAATGGGATTATTTTGTTGAGCTGAAGACCGGAGACTATAGATTTCATTCTGCTTTGCTACAACCCAGATTTCTGGGAGAATAATCATCTGATGAGACACATAATAAACATGTGCTGATGAAGGCTATTCCTCAGATTGTCTGCTGTTTACCCCAGGTGTTCCTGTCACTTATTCATTTGTATTCATTCTTACATTCATTAAACACTATGAAAAGCTAGGTGCTATGGGAGATGCTAAGGAAACGGTAGATGAATGAAAGAAAATAAGATATGGTTCTGCCCTTTGAGACCAAATAATGTGGATAGGTCTTCTTCCAGTATTGAGGTTCCTGTTTGTTTTACATTATTTTCCCAACGAAGACAACTATAAACATGGGAAAAGGTGTAAAAGACATCTGTTTGAGGATTCTCCCTGGTGGCACAGCAGGTTAAAGCACAGCACTGAAAAGCTAAAGCCACTTCAGCATGAGTTCGATCCCCGGCCAGGGAAGTGACCCACATGGTGCAGCAACAGACCTCTTCTGACCGGCACACTGCTCCCCTCAGCAGTGTACTTCATCAGTCAGCCTATTCTGCTCCCCACTCTGTCTCTGGTGAATCCTCTCACTGCTCCTGCACCTCTGGACTATACTCCAGTTCTGTATGCATAAATAAATAAAAAAAAATTAAAGACACCTGTTTGAGAATCTTAAGCCCTCAAGAATTGAGGGGCCAAGAAACTGGAGAGTAGAGAATTATTAAAGTGATTCAGATTTTTTACTGGATTTATTGATAAAACAATCCATACAGAGAGGTTGGAAAACCTAGCACAAAATAACTACAAAGAGAGAGAATTTGAGGAAAGGTTTTGATAGGCTCCTGGGATTCAGGAAGCAAGGAGTTCTGGACTTCAGAGCTAAAGATTCATCAGTGTTTCAGAGTAGGGAGTTAGCCCAATAGTCCAAGTGGCTTATCATCCCAAGGCATTCACTAATTAGCAAATAGCAGCATAAAAGGAAATTAAAAAAAAAAAAAAACACTAACACCAAGAGATTATGGAGATAAGCAAAGGCCTTGACAAATTCACAAGTAAAATTAGACTTTGAAAGTTCACTAAGGGGAATAGTCCTCATTCATTTAGCCTTTCAACTGGACCCCAAGGAAAAAAGGAACAGATTGGACCTTTAAAGATGTTTGAGGAAAACAACTTCTAGTGGTTCAATCTAATCAGATTGAGGTGACTGCCTCCCTTTCTAACTGCACCAGAAACTAACAGCTCATCTGAAGTCTGTTTCTTTAATAATCTTATAACCGTACAGAGTATCTGCTTAATAAAAAAAGTTAGCAAGCATACCAAGAGCAGAACCAAGGAATAGGTAATAGAAACAGACCCATAGGTGATCCAGATACTGCGTTCATCAGACACAGGTGCTACAGTAGCTATAATTAACTTGTCTAAGTCCACAGATACATTACTCCTCAAAGGGCTACTACTACTTGAATTGATCTTTCAAGAACATTTTGGATTTCAGTCAGTGAAGTACTAACTGCTCAAAGACTTGGAGTAAAGATGGAGCTCATTCCAGCCTGCAGTGGGCAATGGGGATGAACCAATGAGGGAAGGGTCAGATCCAGGAGACCATCTAGGGCTGGATCAAATGTGTGTAGGGGAAGAAATGAATGCATTTCCATTTATTTACTTTAGGATTTCTTCAGTAAATCTGACCCGTTTCTGGAAATTTTTCGTATGAATGATGATGCAACTCAGCAGCTGGTGCACAGAACTGAGGTGAGAAAAGCGATTTTCAGTTATGCCATCTTGTCTCCTAAGGTGATAAATAGACCTGGTTTGAGAAACCCCTTACGTTCTTAAATGTCTGTTGCTCTGAATTAAGACCTGGAGTCTTCACTGTCCTCAGGATGACTCTGCCTGTTGTAACTTGGGTTGCTTTTCTTTTGTTTGTGTTTTCAATTTTAGACTTGGATAAGAAGACTCTCACCAAGTTTCCATTATTGGCCTTCAATACAGACAGCAACTTATTAATAATGAGACTATGATTACTAGTCAACATTTCATGAGAATGGACTTAGTGATTTGTGTGCATTATTTTAGGTTTTTTTCCCTCACAGTCACCTCTTGACTTTATTATGAGAAACTGCACTTTTGGGCCCTGCCAGTTCTCATAGTTAGCAAGGGGCCAATTGAATTGAGTTATTTGACCATGAGATTCACTATCATTTGTGAAAGCAACCTGCCTCCCTAGGGGAAGCTCACCACTGGGTCATTGTCAGGCCTGTCCTGCTGGAGGCTGCCCTTTCTCACCACCTACTTCTCCACATTCATCCCCTGTCCCTCTCTTCTCTTTCTTCATGTGGCTTCAAATCTTATCCCTCACTTCTACTTCACTCCCACTATCCATGGCCACCCACTCACTCAAAAACCCACCCCATTCTCCACATTTTCTTATTTATAAGCTAGTCTGTGGATCTCATATGGTATATAGTTGGCATTTAATCAAAAAATAAATAAATTAATGATACTAAAATTGAAGTAGTATGTCCACTAGATGTTGTTGTGCAGTGTGATATTCTGGAACTTAACCCCACGGGAATAGTTTAAGGTCCAGTTAGGCAGAAATCTTGAGTGACACACCATTGCTACCACCAAGTAAATAGTCTTTCCACACATACAGTAGAAGTCTTGGATGGAACAGACTTCTTTCAGGAGAAGTAAGTAGCTGTTGAGAGACTTGGAACTGGTCTCCATTCATGCTTTTGCTGCAGACCTTGAATGAAGGCTTTAATGTGCAGGGCAAAAGGAGATGGAAGCCCTGTGTTGGACTTCTCTCCCAAGAGCCTACTCTCTTTGCTCCTGGCAGAGTTTGTCGTCTCATGACGTAGTGATAAATTTACCCCAAATTGCTAAACTGGGCCCCACAGCCCATTACTGAGGGGCTCCAGGAGTCTCGCAGAAAATGGGACAATAAAGTTTTCTAATGAGTAGAACAACATAACATTGATTTTCCCTCTTCTTTACTCAGTCAGTATGAGTAAGTGTCAGGCAACACTCTTATCTCAGGAGAAGTGTGCACACACACACACACACACACACACAGAGCCAACAGAGAAAATTTCCAGTTGAGATTTAGATCTGCTATTGAGTTTTCAAAATTGTTGCAATGAGACACCTTCACTTCTCAGTATTTTTGTATAAAGGTGAGAAATCTAAATTAACCCAAGCAATTTTATGTAACTTTTCTTCTCTTTATCACTCTGATCACTCCCAAATCATCAGAGCACAAGACAAAGTCACCCAGGAACATCAGTTTTCTGCTCTAATGGATTATAATAAATTTAATAATGACTCTGTGAAACAATCAATAATTCATAGTTATATTAAGGAGCCCTGTAGAAGAGGGAATCACTTATAAAATAATTACATTATTTGGATAGAGAATTCTTTTTTTTATACAATGTTAGGACTATTGCCAACTGTTAGCTTCATAAGGCAAAAACTGTGTTTAACAGAAACCCCTTTAATCTTGTGTGTGTCCCCCTTCCAAGCATCATCATCACCTCTGAGGCCCACCTACCAGTAGTCTGTGTGGAGCCTAGAAATCTTCATTTTTAACAAGTTTGCAGGTGATGTAGCTTCTGCTGCTCCCAGGACCATCCTTTGGGAACCTCTGTCCTAGACTTTATCATATCTTCCCAAGCACAGAGAAGGACATCCTGAACCCAACTAAATTATTTGAATCATAATGATGGCAGGATAAGACTTGACTCACAGGGACTCTTGGGCCAGATTTTGCCAAGTTTATGATGAGTAAACTGCTTTTAAAAGAGTTTCGCTACCTTATAGACTTAGTTTGTCACATGGCTCATCTCTCCTGTTGTGCCTGTCTAAGATATTTAATAGAGATGGCAGTGAGCTAGTGTAAATATGCTCCTGGGATTTTTCTTCCAGAAACTTTTCCTCTAATTTGCAACCTGCTCTAACTCAATATCACTGGTGACTACTCAATTCTTTTAGCAGTAAAGTTAGGCAGCCACACTCCAAACGCATGTCAATAATCTTTACAGCATAGAATACATAGTCCTACAGAACTAGGGATTCTTCATCAAGGTCAGAAGCAACCCATCTCCTTCATTCCAGCCCCTTTAGTGTAGAAGGGGGTCACCTAAGGCATCTACATGCTGAACAATACTACTGTCACTATTCATGAACCAGCACTTAGTGGGCACCCTAAAAAGACTTACTATTCTCTAGTTTTCATTAAGGCACCTCTTCCAGACAATTCTACTTTTCATAATGTGACAATACTACTCAAGCAGTTTTTATGTTGCAATGTGAAAATGTCAAGCACTTCCTCCCCTAGCCACCACTCCTCTATTTCTTTTCTCAGGTCGTGATGAATAACTTAAGCCCAGCGTGGAAATCATTCAAAGTATCAGTAAATTCTCTATGCAGTGGAGATCCAGACCGCCGGCTGAAGGTCAGAAATCTGTCTGTGTCCAAGGAAATGCAATTGCTTATGTATTTAATCTTCTGTCTTTCCTCAAGTGGATGTTGGCAACCCCAAATTTTTCTGTACCATTTACCCAAATCTTAGCATCTTAATGGTAGAAGCAGGGGGAATTTCTTCTGCTTCTCATGGAAGGTCAAGAGGTAACCCAAAATAAGTATCAACTGTGTTATGTCAAGAAGCAAAGTCTATAGTTTCTCAGAGAGATTGGCAGTCAATTCAGTGTGTAATTGGGCGTTATTAAAAACACCATTATTATTGTATCAATCATCTGTTGCATAAGAGATTACTCTAAAATTAAGTAGTTTGGTGCAATAACCATTGATTTAGGTGATGATTCTGTGCATTGGCCGGCTGAGCTCCTCTCGCAGGTCCTTCTCTTGGCCTTGCTTGGGTTCCCTTGTGAATTTGTCTTCAGTTGTAGTGAGCAGGGCAGCTCTGCCTTTGCTGTTTTTTCGGGTATGATCTGGAATGACTGAGGAGGTTCTGCCCGTTGTTTCCCATCATCTAGTGTGAACTTTCACACACAGTGACTTTCATTCCAAAGAAACAATAAAGGAGCATAAGGCCCTTCGAAGCCAAGTCTCAGAACTCACGTGAGGTCTTTGCTACTGTTCTGTTGTCTGAAGCACCTCGTAGGACCTTCCCAGAATCAGGGGGGTGAGGCAATAGGCTCCATCTCATGGTGGGATTGCTATGAAATGTGGTGGCAGGCTGTGAAGGGGCATCAGTGTCTGTGGTGGGGAGATTGTGTTTGCCTTGGTAGTAGGTAAGGTAATGTATGTCTGAAGAGGTGTGATCTCATACCTCTGGATCATACATAAAGTCGTAACAGTTTACCACAGATGCCTTTAAGTATCATAGGAATGTAGCACTGGAAAGAAAAGATGCATTGTAGGGGTCAGGATATCAAAGGAAGAAAACAGGCTGCCAGAACAAACTCCAGAGACATTCCCAGGGGACCGTTACCCTTCCTTGACCTTGGGAGTCCAAAAATCCATATTGTCAGTGGCCCAATGTTAATGGGGCTACATAAGCCCAATCTAGACCTACAACCGAAATGACAGTTGGTTCACATTCAGTGAGAAACTTGACTGTCATGCAGACTCGGCATTCATATCAACTTCAGCATTTATTTCTCCATGTAGACAAATCACAGAGAAGATAATTGCCAGAAGGTTCCTGTGATCTTCTGGACACAGATCCAGGAGAATGCTGGATTACGGAGATGGTCAGTGCTTTGGGCACCTCCATCCAGCAGGCGGACTAACCGTTCATGTAGGTCCTTCCGGGCACTTAGCCCACTAGAATCTGTTTACTGGACACTGCCAATATTTGTCTTTGTAGTTTTCCCTTTCTTTACTCTTTTGCCTCAATGATTATTTTGATCTGTCAGTGTCACCAATCAGATTAGAAGGCTGTCTGATGGCTAGCCCCAGCCTTTGTGATATGACTTAAAACATCTCTGCTTAAGACAGCTGTGTGGATTGTGTGACTCAGCTCTTACTTGAAGAGCAAGTTAGAGCTGTCTCTCATATCTCCTATAAGAACCCAGATATTTCAGTGGGATATTTGGAACTTTCAGGACAACTATTTGGAACACAGTCAGGACACATGGGTATCTGGACCCTCATGTGTAAGCTCCTAAGCAGAATGGACAAGAGCAACTGCTTTAGGCACAAGTGGTGATGGTCTATACTGGAAGGGAAAGGAAGGATTGAGGATGTCAACAGCTGTACCGTTGGCTTGTGGATTTTACTGTATCTGCCTTGTGCATTATGGGATGTTTGCATCCCTGGCGATAGGTTCTAGTAGTTCTCTGGCTCCACCAATCTTAGAGCCAAAAGGGTGCACAGACCTGACTCAGTGTATCTGAAGGGTAAAAGCACTGTGATAGAGAGCGACTGGTGCAGATCCCTGGTTTGAAATCTTAGTATCAGAATCACTTAGAAAGCTTGCTAAAACATAGGTTATTTGTTTTCTTTTTGTGTTATCCTGATTTTCATAAGTCATCTGACTTAGTGCTTAGAAGGAAGAAACCAGAAATCCCACCTCCAGTACAACCCCAGATCTTAATCCTTGACTGTGACCCATTTCGCATCCCGACAGGCTGTTCTATGTCATTGGGAATGCCCGTAATAAAGAGCTCAACATTCTCAGGCAATGGCAAGTAAGTTCACAGCCCTCTCGACCTGACTTACACTTAAAAGAAAAGGTGGGTGGGGCAAACGTGGATGGTTCCTGATTCTGTTTTCCTGAGATCTGTTAAAATGCAAGGGTTTTACTTACGGCCTTCTGAACTGGAAGACTGCTGGTTTTGTTCCTGTCAATAGTTCACTCACACAAAATGTTCTGTAATTACCAGCAATTGCAGGCTCATCACAGTGTCTCTGTATTGCTTCAGCCATGGCACAGGAATTCTTGACTCCACTTAAGTAAATGGCACCCCTGAGCCCAGCAGGCTGCCTCTGCTGAGATCCATGATCGATCTGGCAGCATGGAAAAGCAATAACCAGCTTAAATAGTGTTAAATCAGACAGGACTAGAAGAGCTTCTGAATGAGAGGAAAGCTGTATGTTCTCTTAATTTTGAGATTTTTTTTTCTTTTTCATTAGTGTTATCTGCTTTTGTATAGATGAAGAATTCAAGACTGTGTTTAAGCAAATTGCTTAACATCACGCAGCTAATAATACAGCTTTAGTCTAAGCCCATCTCATGTTTTACTGTCTTTGCTCTTAACTATTAAGACAGCTAAAATTTATCGAACGTTTACCAGCGACCAGACACTATGTTGGATACTTCGCTTAAATGATCGCATTCAACCTTTTAATTATCCTAGGTTAAACAAAGCTGCAGTAGCGAAGAGCCCCCTGCCAGAGAAGCTTCTTTCTTGCTCACCTAAGAATCAGACATAAAGCTTTCTGTCGTTGTCTGCCTCTCCCGGCAATGATGCACAAAGCCAGCTTGCGTCTGCCCTGTGTCTGGTCCATCCCTTCGGCCCTCGTTGCTATTTGCATCCAGACCCCTAAGCCCCATTTTCTAGAACTCAATCCCTTGGCCACTCTAAACTGCCAGGAAGGCTGTAGAGAGAACCATGGAAATTAATGTTGAAGAGATACAGGATTTCAGGGAGGAAAATGCAAAACTCTGGAGCTAGACGGTGGTGGTGGTTGCACAATACTGTGACTATTCAATGCCACAGAGTTATGCACTTCAGAGCGTGACAAGGGGAGCTTCTGTGATCTCTCTTCTACCAAAATTTTAAAAGAAGCTTCTTCCTGGTGACACTACTCTGAACTTGCTCCTTGTGAAACAGCGGCTTGATATCACCGTTCCCACCCCAGTGCACTTACCAAGCACGGCCCTCACCCTCTCAGCAAGCTGGGGTGAGGGCACAGCAGCTCCTGTTTTGTCACCCAGTCCCTTCTCTGAGAACGGCTCCTAGGGGCCCAGGGGAGGTTCTTTCTGGCATCATGATGAGTAAAAAGCATTAAAACGGGGGCACCCCCCTGCCAAACCGTTTGGTGTGGAAAATTGCCCATGGTCCTGTGCTGTCTTTGACTATTTCAAAAAAGTAATCAAAGAAATCCCTTTTGGGAGAAACTGTAGAATTGTGAACTAAGAGCACCAAAGTACACATTAGTCAGTGAGCCCTCTAGCTGAGAGTGAAGAGGGAGCCTGCTGGTAGCCAAAGAGGCCATCACGCCCAAGAAATAGCACCCCTTTCTCAGTAAGTCGCCAATGCTGTGGTAAGACGCAATCCCTGCACATTATTCAGCCTGTCAATGCCAACTTTTGCACCCAAAATCAAGGTCATCAGCCAGCTAGTGGGAAGATCCTGAGGAACACTAGGCCCTGGACAAAGCTGCTGAATAATGAGGGAGAAGGAATACCCTGCGCATGGAGACTGAGAGGCCTCTCCTGTGCAGCTATGGGGCATAATTCAAACAATGGGGCACCTCGCTCTGTCCAGAGGATGCCATGTGCTGGTGACACTGGCATCTGCTTATGCTGGCTGCTCGCAGCTAATTGACAGACTGATGAGTGATGGATGTGTGCTGCTTCACAGGCCACTGTACCACCTCGTTAACACTGAAGCTGAAGAGTGGCCTCCAGATCTCAATTTTTCTTATTTTTTGCACTTTGGAAACGTTGTTTTTAAACCTAGTCTTGCGGTTTTCACAAACTGAATTGATATCCCAAGAGGCCTTTGCACTGAGTCGGTTTCTATAAGGCATCTAGCTGCCCTCGCATATTTAAACTTTAAATGGGAGTTTCTTGTTTTTAAGTATTGCAGTCTGCAGCCACCATGGGTATTGCTTTCTGGGAAGCCTTTCCAGTGGAGTTACAAAACAAAACTTTAAAAGAATTAGCTTTTTGGAAGGAAATTTTTTTTTATAGAGATTCCTCAAGGCAAAGAGAAATGACCCTTTTCTAGGTAAGTGGCACCACCTTTCATGGAGTTAACGAAGAAAGCTGGACATGAAAGATGGGCCCCTCAGATTACCTACAGAAGCTGCTTCTGGCCAGACCCCCCTGACCCCAGTGGCCTCCAACTTCTTTGCTTATAAAGGAACTCGACTTTGCCCAGTCACTCCACATGTTTTTGTTTTTTTTTTTTCTTTTTCATTTTACTATGATGACATTTGTTTACAACACTGTATAGACTTCACATGTGCAGTTACTCAACTTCCACGCCCTCCAGTGAATGGCAGTCACGTCCATCACCAGCCAGTCCACTCGTTCTCCTATCCTCTTCCACCTCCCTCCCCGTGGTCACCACTATTCTGTTGTCAGAGTCTAAGCGTTTGTTTAGCTTGTTCAATTGCCTAATTTGTCTCTATATTCCACCAATGATTGAAATCACTCAGTACTTGTCTTTTCTGCTTCTTAGTTAACTAGTTTAATCCCCTCAAGATCTACCCATGTTATCACTCTTATAACTTGTGGGCTGCTCAGTGAGACACACA